TCTTTCATCCCACCAAATCATTAGGATTTATTATTCTACAGGAAGAATTTTTAAAAATTCAATCAAAGATCTTAATTATATTGATACTACTCATATTTCAGCTTATGGTCAAACACCTTCTTTATTGGATCTGCTCAGGCCTAATTGGTTGTACAAATAGCTTTGGTCATGTGCTACTAATAATGACCACTTCTGATTGGCTTTGTCTTTGCTAAGTTTAAGCTCTGCCTATAACTAGCCTAAATGAATAAGTGTATATCGGTTACAAGATTTAATGTATTTGTTAGGCAAGTTTCTCAGTCTTTATCTGTCTTCTCTTAATTCAAATTGGAAAATAAGAATGAGCTCTGTTCATTTTCAGTTCCTAAGATACTTCTGAATTTATCACTTGTACAAAGAAGGAAAACATTATTTAAATAACAAGGGAAGAAGCTTATGTCATTAAAAAGCTAGATTTTCATCTATGGCATTTAAGTAAATTCCACAAAGTCACAGAAATATCCTTCTTCAAAGTATTCCCTAGTAAGATAACTGATCTTTGATCCAAACTATATTATATACAATGATGATGATTTATGTTTACTTTACTGCTAAATAACAATAATTCTTTTTGTTTTTTTTTTTAAAAAAGACATTTAGTGCTCTTACACTAAATACTGAGTATATAGGAAAATGATTAAATAAATGTAAAATATTTATCAAAAAATATTATGGGAACATGTTATCTCAAATAGTGTGTAAAAGATATTATAATCTAAATGCATAATTATACTACAATCCTTCTGAATTATAAGCATTACAAAAAAATTAAACCAAAAAGACAATTTAAAATTTTATATAAAATTTGAAAACTAAATTGTATTTTCTGAATATGTGATTAAATATAACTAGCAGAGTCAGAGAACATAACATACATTTGCTACATTCACGAGTGATTTTTCTCCTCCTTCCACAGGTAGTAAAACACAATAGTAATGCTAGAAAAGACAAAGCAATATGGAGGAAGTATCTACCATATGGATTCTATATGTTCAGTAAAATGAAAGAGCTGATTTTGTAAAATTCTGTAAACACAGTTCTGTATTGCCTGGGCCCAAATCTTATTACAGAATTTGGTTACATATGCATTTAAATCAACTATACCCAAACTACCCTTAGACACTTATGTGCATTGGTATGCAATTTAATATGCTAAATTTTAGTTTGAGGACAGTCATTTACTCAATGTTAAGGTGAAATGGTAGCAAACAAGAAAAATAACCTTATTTGACAAAATAAGGCTAATAAAAGAGAAGAATAAACAAAATTCTAGTGTGCTTATTTCCAGGTGGGAGGGTGGAGAATATAACAAAGGGAAAGCACACAGGAAGCCTTGATAGTACTTAAATTTCTAATTTTTAAGTCAAGTGGTGAACTCTAAGTGAATTCATAAGTGTTCATTTTATTATTATGCTTTGTAAGTTAGATGTGTGTTCCAATATCCTTTTGTACGTATCAAATATTATACCATAAATATGAAAATAAATTTCCATCCCCCGATGTTTGCCCCAATAATGTGCCTAATGAGCTGAATTAGATTTTGGTTCTATGTTCTAAAACTGGCATTCAGAGTAAAAATCAAATAGAGAAGTTTCTAATCTAATTTTAAAATAAATTAATAGAATCAAATATATGTCATTATTAAATCCAGATCTAGACCTTTTGGAATCTGCAAAATAATTCCTCATTCGAATGAGTTTAATAAGGTAGACTGTAACTGAAATTTAATGACTATACTGCTATTGACTTGTATCCTAAAGCCTGGCAACAATTTAGGGGGAAAAGGGAAAAAATGAAGAAAAGTCTTGCCTTAATTGTGCAAAGCATTTAAAGGTCACTGATATGGAAACAAAGACTCTTTTAGAAATGGGGAGGTAGATAGTAAATATTAGGTTACTTCGTGTTAATCTAAACATTCTTGGGATTAACAGTTCCTTTTATTAAGCTTCCTTGAAAAGAGAAGATTCTGTAATGATGACTATAAGACAGATGGCACCTCGACTGTCTTTCATTTGGGCAGGAGCTTTCAAAGGCAGTGGACTAAACGGGAAAGAGCTTGAAGTTTGGCAACCGGATAGACCTGAATTCAAATATGAGCTCTACAACTTGCTAGTTAGATGTTCATATAAAAGAGAGAGACAGAGAAAAGATAGGGGCGGAGGAGTACAATCTCCTCCAGAAGGAACACAGAACTAAATTCTAAATTGGTTGAAGCAGCTCTTACATCTATGTGTCTTACAGAAATCACAGTTGGTTGTTAAGGTTGCAAAGAAAAAGGCTACTGAAAATAGAGGTAGGCAATAGGGTTTAGGCTGACCTACTACCTCCCACATTCTCCTCTCACGCAGTACAGAAGAAAAAGCTCTCATAAAGGCAATTTAACATATCTTATATTAAAGTACACTGATGTACTGGAGTAGCATTTTCCAGCAGGACAAGAGTCAGGAGAGAGGAAGAATAATGCCTTCTGACTTTGGCTTCTGGTGTTTATATGTATTTTTCTTTCTAAAAAGTTTTCACAGCAGTGGATTTTTTTCTTTGCTTCCTAGAATAAAATCTTAGCTGATCATGTGAATTTCTGAACCTGCTTAAAAGTCAGAACCTGCAAACTAAAACAAAGCTATTTCTGTAAAAGTCTGGCATTCAAAACCAGTGAATTCTGCCCCAGCTGGATTAATGTATATGTGAAGATAGTAACTTCAGAGGCCTCTTCCACAGTCTAGATTCTGATTCAGCAGTTACTGAGCAACTGCACAACATGACAGTCAAGGTGCCAAGCACTTTCACATGTCCAACCTGAGTCTGAATTCTTCACACTGACATTTATAAAGACATTGAAATAATAATGTATTCCTGACCACTTAAACACTTCTATTAAAAACTACCAACTGTTCATTTTCAGATTATATTACATAGTTTTCTTAATAACATGTTACCTTATTATCAGAAACCACCTATACAATCTGACTCTGATTTTACTGACTCATTATTCCTAAATACTAAGAAGTGCTCCTGCAAGCCTTTGGATTCCTTTCCCAGGCTGTCATAAATTGTCAACTGGAGGTACCCTTTTAATACCAGTTATTCATGTGAATCTAAGCAAACTGTTTAACCTCTGCAAGACTTCATTTCTTCAGCTGTAAAGTGGGGATAAATACCTCTCACACAAAGTTGGTGTCATAATTAAATAACAAATATAAAAACCCTAGCACACTGTAGGTATTAAATAAAGGTGAATTGAATCAGAATCCCAAATCTGTTACGAGCAATTTTCACACTGCTAACAAATTTAATCTCGTTACTCTTAAATTAAGAATCTGTGATGGCTGCTCACTGGTAGAAAAGTTGAAACTCCTTAACTTCCCAAACTCAGGAAAACAAACTAGCTGCAATCTACTTTTTCTAGCCTCATCATCCACCTTCCCTTTTCAGCATATAAATTCTGTATTCTAGTCTCAGAAAATGTTCTTCAAACCTTAATTTCTACCAAGAATGATACCACCCACCCCGCCACTTCTTTATCTGATGAACTCTCTTAAACCTCACAGCCAAAATCAAACATTATTGCTACTGTAAGTTTTCCCTAGCTCCTTAGATTTATTAATTGTTCCTTTCTCTTAGCCCCCAAAATACTTTTACTTACCAATATTACTGCACTTATTTTGTACTGTCATTATATTTTACTATCCTTATATCTTTTTTCTTCCCATTAGAGAATATTAATTCAGTAACTTCCAAACTAGCAGCCCTGATTCTTTCAATTGGCCAGAACCACGTCCTTTTCGTGATTGTTCTCCCAGAATAGTGCCAGGTACAGAATAAATCCACAATAAATTAATAAGTTCCAGGAAACAGAAGAAATAAAGGTGGCTTTAACAGAGATAATAATAGCAAGAAAGGAAAAAGAATGACATTGCAAAGTGAGCCCTCTCAGCTGTTACTTCTTTAGCTCCACCAATGGGATGAGTTTCTTTACCCTTTGCTATCCAGAGGTTCTGGTCCTCTCTATCTAAAAACTCTTGGTCCCAGTTCCAGTGATATGCTCAGCACATTCTGAAAATAGACTTCCTCTGAAAGTTAAATATGCCCTACTTCAATCCTTTGTGAACAATGACTAACCATTAATATCTATATCTTTGTGATCTTTGCCTATACCTATGAGTTTTCACTAAAAAAAAAAAAGGTCGTGAATTCATCAAATCTAAGAGGACACTGATTGTAAGATGTAACATTATTTTAAATATCACTAAGAGAAAAATATGCTGCCAATACATTATGACTTGATTGTAAGACCCATCTCAATTTCAGAGAGAAAATAATGTTTCAGGTTTGAAGGAAAGCATTTAATTCCTGCCTCCTTTCCTTACACTACTAGCAGAAAGACAAAGAAACAAACAAAAACATTTGAAAACTTCAATCTGTTGTCCAGAATCTGATGCAAAAGGCCAAGAGGAGAGGTACTTTGGTGTGGAGCCCAGATGGTGGCAGTGAAATGGTAAACAGGCAGATCAGTAATTTGCAGAAACATGACAGAATGACTAAGAATGAATGACTCATTCATTCACTCATTCATTCATTCATAAATATTAATTGAGCAATCAGTATGTGTCAGGCATCACATTGGGGACTAAGATTTTTATCGTGAATAAAATCAGACAGAATCCTTGCACTTAGGAAATGCACTGTCTATGGTTCAGGTGCAGTAGATAAAACAATCACAGAGATAGTTTACGATTACAAACTGAGATAGGTGATATGAAGGGAAGGAAGAGGATTGAGAAGCACATGTAGCAATCAAAAACCTGGCCTAACCTGGGGGTGGGGGTGGGGGTCAAGGAACACATTCCTTAGAAACTGGTCTTTGAATTGATATCTGGAAGTAACAGGAAAAAGAGGGAGGGAGTGGGGGCTGAAATGAGAAAGCACCTGGGCCCTTCTAGGAACCGAAAGAACGTCACTCTGGAAGCATACAGATGGAGAGCAAGAGAAGTCAAGAGCAAAAGTCACATTTTATAGTAGTATTAGTAAGATAGGCTGGGAGGGAAATAGGTATGGTGCATTAAGAGCAGACAAAGATATTGTGAAGTCTAATAAAAACTGATGGTAGTTTAAGCTATGGTGATGGCAGTGGAGACTGGTGGGTTCATGAGATATTTAGAGAGTAAGAAGTCAAAAAGTCAAAAGTATGTGCTAATGAATTGGTTATGGGTGTTAAGGGAAAGGTAGTAGTTAGGATGCTATTAGGTTTTCTTACTTTGTGCAAACAGAAGGTGTCACTCATCAAGATTGGGAACATGGAAGAGGTCCTGTTTGAGAAGAGATGGGCAGATGAGGATGCGGTACAACTATCAAGATCCTGCCACAATTATGTTGAGTTTGAGATGCTTTTAAGATATCCAAGTGGAAATGTTGATGAAGTGATTAGATATGTGGGTATAAAGCTCAAAAGAATATCTAAGCCAGAAAAAAGTCTAAGATTGAATGTTGAGGACTTCAGACTGATATGGACTGGCTGTTGGGGTGAAAAGGGTCTTGGAGTTTTCATAATTCCTTAACTCAGTACCTAGTATATTTCTTCTCAACCTATAGACCGCCTCTGGCTCTTAAGCTTGGCTAATCTTTCTTATTTGAACTAGATATGTTTTCAAGATATCCCAAATTTAAACTCTGAATATACTTTTCAAAGAAACATATTTTGGTTACTGAACCCATATGCATTTCATATTTGCCAGGTGGAAAACATTTGTGTGTATGAGGGTGGAGGATAGGGAGGTAAACAGCTAACTATGATTAATTAAAGATTCCTTCTGAGTTTCAATAATCCCCTAACATATTAGGTTTAGGGATATAAATGGATTATAATTCGTCTATAAATTCGAGATCGCCCTACTGTTAGTTCTGAAAAAAATGTTAAAATTAGAGCAAGTTAAAGCACTCATATGCATTTAAAAAATATTAACAGTTGCTGAGTTCAACAATAAGGATAATCTTATGATCCCATGTTCCCTATTCCATGAATATACCTACTATGCAGAAATTTTGTGCAGATTAGGAATTTATTAACATTCTAACACAGTATAAGACAGTAATGCTATTATTATTTATTTTTAAAATATTTTAAAATAAAATAGCATCCACTTTGTATTTGCAGAGTAAATATGCATATAACTCTCCATCATGAGGAAGTATCCAAAAAGAAATGTAAGCATTACAAACTTCCTCTTTTCTGTCTGCACCTTTCACTACTTTGGCTGTTTTCTTGGATAGAACCAGGTAGAGTTAAAGAACATTAATAACTCTGTGCTGCTCTCTAGTGGTAAATATAGAATATGGTCCATTACAGGCTTTCCCTTTTAATATACTTTCAAACAATGAAATTTTAAGAAAGCCAGTAAGAGAAAATATATATTATGGGGATAATTTCTTAGTCTGCTATCACTGACAGCTGATGAAAAGTCACTCAGCACCGCTGCCATCAACTTATTACTTTAATTACAACTATTTTTCATGCGAATATAAAAGCACAAATTGATACTTGTCTTAAAAGAATATTTTTATTCCGTTAGGTCCCGTGATCTATTATTGCATTATATCAAGTGTAGTCTAAGAAATACCTTAGCTATACTGAACACACACACATACACACACGAATGCACCTCATCTTCAAAACTAAAGTAGTACTAAATATTTTGATTCTTAGAAGAAAAATTTCATTTTTTGTTTGAATTTATTTGAACTTAGCATTTAAATATGCTCTTATTTGGTTAATAATTTAAATTCAATAGCCAAAAGTTTATATCATTATAATGTCCTAAAGTCATTGTATAATACTTATAACTCATGAATTTGGAAGATACCTTATTATCTCAGCAAGCCTGAAACAATTAAAGTCACTTCTATTATTTTTGGAAGTTATTAAGAAACTGATTTTTTCTTAACAAAGAAAAAAATCCAGTTAACTAGATAAACTGGTTGCTAATCAAGTGTTTGGAGTGGGAATGGAGTAAGAGTAGGACTATTTATTCAACCAAAACAACTAGATCAATAAGAAAACAACAATATGAACAAACCTAATGATAAGAGAATACTTTCTCATACTATCCAGCTTAATATTAATATTTTATTAAATTCTTTATATCCTGTATACATCCAACATACTGAAGACAATTTTCAATAAAAGACAAATATAATCACATTAGTAAAACTAAAATAGCAAATGACATCCAAGAGAAATGAGAATGTAAATATAGTAACCAGTTTGATAACTAAGTCACTGGTATTGTGTTTCAAGTTTGGGTCTGAGCTTTCTAGCAAGCAGAGCAAAAGGGAACTCATGATTTACGTATTTCTTACATTGAAAAGGAGAGTAAGACTTTCTAAATTCTAAAAAAGGATATTTTCTGGTCTTAAATATAAATTTGATTTCTCAAATGGATTCTAAATTGAATTTTTCATGTAAGCAACTTAGTGATACAATTAACAAACTCAACAAGGATTCCCATAAATTCAGAAATAAGTGAATTTTATCTGCTGAGTATTTTTATTTATTTTGTTTTGTTTTGCATTTAGAAGAGGCCTAATGAATGTAGTTCAAGTTTAAGTGATCTAACTTAATCCAAACTCAGAGCAGTGGATAGCTAAGACATCTTCAAATATACTTTTGCTCTACCAGCCACAGGATATGAGTTAAACCGTATAAAATTGAAAAATATATAACCTTTAGTTAGAGCTTGAAATCTGTTATTGTCATATTTATTTCATATTCATTTGTTGGATTAAAGGTCCTTGAGGGGAAAGGTCTATCTTCCAGTTCTTTCGTATCTTCACTGAGAAATGGTCACAATAGACATTCAGCTAATACTAAAAATATGTTGATGAAGTAGAAAAACAAACCTTATCACTAGTGGTTTTGTTTTCTTGGTGAAAGGTTATTTTTATTCATTTTTACCTTGTAACAGTCTCCTCCAGGAATGATTTCCTGAATATACACAAAGGGACCTTCATTTCGGTTAATTCCTCCAAGGATCTTCAGACCAAGGCCTGTTTCCTTGGTAACTGTAATCATCTGAAAGGCAGGATCTCTAAGATAAAAGTAAATTAGCGCTCATAGGTTAGCCTACAGATTTGTACCTACTTTTTCTTTAAACTACTTGTTAGACAAAATTCTTATATCTACAAAACTCAAAATGCTCAGTACATACTAAGAACTACATTTTAAAAAGTATGGTGTATGATCCAGCAATCCCTCTACTGGGTATTTACCCCAAAGACTCGAAAACCTATATCCGAAAAGATATTTGCACACCAATGTTCATAGCAGCATTATTCACAGTGGCTAGGACATGGAAGCAACCGAAGTGTCCTACGATAGATGACTGGATAAAGAAGCTGTAGTACATATATATACAATGGAATATTATTCAGCCATAAGAAAGGATGAAATACTGCCATTTGCGACAACATGGATGGACCTTGAGATAATCATGCTAAGTGAAATAAGCCAGACAGAAAAAACTGAAAACCACATATCACTTATATGTGGGATATAAACCTAAAAGCGACAAATGAACAGGACAAAAGAGACTCATGGATATGGACAATAGAATAGTGGTTACAAAAGGGTAGCAGGGAGGAGAAAGGGGGGAATTAGATGGGGTAAAGGGGGTCAAATACGTAAGAAAAAAATATTTTAAAAATTTTAAAAATAAAAAAAGATGGAAAAAATAAAACTAAACAAGCATTAAAAAAGTATGATGATACAAAAACAATCAGATGGAATTTCTTACTTGTATTTTTAATTTTCTCTACAAAACAAACCATAAAAGAAACTATAACAATAATGCTTATTTCTTTGGAGAACAAAGAAAAATACTTTAAAAATATTTTTAAAATAGTATTGAGATAAATTTTTAAATTTATTAAAGGTGACTGAAAATATTTGTGTTTAGTTGATTTTTAGACTACATTAAAAAACTGCAATACTAAACATTTTAATGAATTAGGTAAGTGACTTTAAAAGATATGTTTGTGGCCATTTAAAGCAAAATAAATGTAACCTCCATTTGAATTTCAAAAATCTTTAATTTAGAAAGAGCATTTTCCTAGTACAAAGAACTACTCCAGCTATAATTTCTGTTAAACATAAGAGCAAGGCCATTAGAAAAGAAGAAACTGTCAAAAGAATTCTGTGAAAGGTATACCCCCAAGTTATGTTTCTGACCACGCTGATCAGAGCAGTGACTTTTACTGGTTAATAAAGTCTAAAATAAGGTTTAGGGCTACCTGCTTATTTATCATGTACTGGGTACTGTGCTAAACTACACACACACACACACAATGCCAATTTAGTATTTATAAAATCCCTAAAAGTATTACCCTCATTTTTCGTTTTTCTTTCTTTTTAATTTTTATTGTTCAATTAGAGTTGACATTCAATATTCTTTTATATTAGTTTCAGATGTACAAAACAGTGATTAGACATTTATATAATTTATAAAGTGATCCTTCCAATTAGTCTAGTACCCACTTGGCATTATACATAGTTATTACAATATTACTGACTATATTCTTTATACTGTACTTTACATCCCTACGACTATTCTGTAACTACCAATTTGTACTGCTTAATCCCCTCACCTTTTCCACCCAGCTCCCCAACCCCCTCTCCCATCTGGCAACCATTAGTTTTGTTCTCTTGTACCTATGAGTCTGTTTTTGTTTAGTTTGTTCATTTATTTTGTTCCTTAGATTCCACAGATAAGTGAAATCATATGGTATTTGTCTGTCTTTGTCTGACTTATTTCACTTAGCATAATACCCTCTAGGTCTATACATGTCCTTGCACATCATTCTTCTAAAGGAATGAAAATCTGGGGAAGTAAACTTGGTGGCCTGAGGTTACAAAGCTGGAGAACAGCAACGTCAACCCAGTCTGTCTTACTCCAGAGGCAAAATGTGCTTCCTTGGTATATCAAAGCCATTGCTGAATATAGGACATCCAGCTATCTTCAAACATATCAAAAAATTGAAGCTGGTATTAAAAAAATTTACTTCACATCTTATATGATTATAGCTTTTAGAAAAAGCTTTCTTAGTTTCTACCATATAAATTCTAACTATAGTAAGTCCTCACTTAACATCATTGATGGGTTCTGCCACTTTAAGCAAAAGGATATATAATGAAACACATTTTATCATTGGTTAATTGACATAAACAAGAGTTAAGTTATATAGCATGTCATCGACATTAATAATGTAACGATGTTGGATAAAACAGTTATTTGAGGATCTGCTGTATATCTTTAAGAAAATTCATATTTAAAAGTTAGATAATAAAAAAAATAGAATGAAAGAAAAAAATTTTAAAATCTTACAAACTCCCTGTTTTTAAATATTTTGCTCTCTACATAGCATACGAGTTAGAGTTGCATTATACTGAATTCAGCATTAGTGTCGGAAGACCTCTCTGCTAATAGGGCAATAATCAATTAGTTAGAAAACAGGCAGAAAGGACAGGGTCTAAAATGTTCTGCTGTCTTGTATTTCAGGACTTCAGCCTATTCTTGATGGGACATTAGGTTCCAAGGCTATAAAGGAGCGAAGCCTACAAATGGGAGAAATGAAGATGTAAACAAAGGTATCTCACTAGGCACCTCCAGTAATCTCTAGATGTGAACTTCCTTCAATGGAAACACACATAATCTCCAGTATATATTATTGTTTCAGTAAAGCATCCTTATTTTTTTAATCTCAACAGTGTATTTACTTGGAAGGATCTTATTTTAAAATTCCTCTATTGTTAAGAATTTATATTACTTTTATTGCTATTAAAAATAGTTCTGCTGTTCAACTTTAATTATAATAAGAGTATTACAAGTTAAAACTAGGCAGAGATCATAGGTTGTTAGCTGTTTAAAACTTTTACCAAATGTTCATTAATATTCTACTATGATCATCCAAAACATACTAAATTTAAATTAAAAATTACTTTTCAAGTAGACTGGATGATGCTACAGCAGATGTATTTTTATTCATGGTTTCACCACGATAGCCTTCAAGTTAACAGTTGCGTAAATGAAGATCTTGATGAAGTCTATAAATTCTTCTTTTCCTAAGACTGGAGAAGTGGAAAATAAATTGTCATGTCTTAGAGAAGTCAAATTTGCTTTAAACTTTGCATAAAAACATTATATAACACTTGGTACGTAAACAATATGTGCCTATGTATAAATGTTAGATATATGTTATATATTTTGGGCTATGTTACTTTAGTAATTGCTTATATTATCTGAGAAATGTAAAAATAGTTCTGTAGATAGACAGACGGATGGACAGAGCTACAGGAACACATTTATATCATTATCAACATTTATATCTATATAAAATCTGCATTTTCTGGCAGAAACAAATACAATTAAGCTTTGGGTAGCTATTATAGCTTCCGCATTAGTAACCTTAACAAACACATAATAATAAAAGCACGAAGCTAAGAAGTTTATAGTCAGAATGTCTACAAAATACTTATACAATACACTGTTGAAGAAAACAGAAATTCTGATTGTCTCACCAACTGTCTTGAGGGATTTCCTGCAGATCCTTTATTACTCTGACTCGTGTTACTCCAAGCTTCTTCAATATTTTCCTATTAAAAGAAAAAATATATATTATTTTGTATAGCTCTTATACCTCCACTGTGAAAATTAGTGCAGTTTCATTCAATTAAAAAATTTCATTTAAATAGGGATTTACCCCTTCTGCATAAGAAATATGAATGCAGTATAGAAACTTGAAGATGAAAAAGATATTAGGATCAGTTAGCACAACCATCTTAAAGAAATGAATAGCTAGATTCACAGAGATTGTGCACTTTTCCCACACAATGGGAAACAGTTGGTTGTTTTCCCAGCCAGAACTCAGGCTGCAGGGCCTAGAGCGTGGACCTTGAAATTGGATAGACCTGGGTTCTAATCTGAGCTTCTAGACTTCTCCAAGCCTGTTTCTTTATAGTAGTACAGAAAATAGTAGTGACAGTTTTACAGATGGATAGACATATCAAAACTTAGCAAATTGTTTCACTTTAAATATGTGCTATTTAGTTGTAAATCATTTATACTATAATTTAAAAAATTTCTTTTAATCTGATTTTCAGTTAAACATGCAGCTTGACCTTGGCTTGTATCTTCTTACCCTCCAAAGAGACCACTGATATGAGAGTAAAGGATTACAAAGAGTATAAACTCACAGTGTTGATGAATAAATGAAAGAATTTAATTCCAGTATTTAATGTTAATTTCACCTGAAATTATTCTGTTTAGAAAAGAAACACTTTGGAGTTCTCTTTGCCAATGGTTCTATATTTGGAAGTGCACTGCATCAGGAAGAGCACTGGCCTAGAAGTTAAGATACCCGCATTTGAGTTTCATTTCCACTGCCCAGTAGCCATGTAACTTTGAGCAGCCACCTAACTACTCCGCTGCCCAGTTTTTTCAAGTGTAGAATTACAAGGTCAGTCATAAAATGACCTGTACAGGTTCTTTTTTTGGCTCTATGAATAGAAAATTCTATCCCTGGTTTATTAAACTACAAGCCTCCCAGTGTTTTTAGAAGAGAGAATTTTGTTTTTAAATTTCTCTTCAAAATCTCTAAAATCAGTCTGATCTCTAAATTAGGTGGGGTAGCCTGCAGGCAGGTCATTCAGAAGGAATTTAAGGGGAGAAGGAAAGAGTATTTGTGAAGTGAAATTATATATTACGGTTATTTCATTACATAAGAAGGGCATGATAGTGCTGGCTACCCTATAAATAATCTGTTGGGATTTTGTGACTGACAAGTTATAAATACCTATTGTTTATAGATTCAATGGAACTAATATTAAAAATGTAAATATTGCTTGTTGTAAAGTTAGAACTATAGATTTAGTAACATACTTGGAGAGACAAAAAATAACAATGTTTACAAACTGGCAATTTGTATATCTTATCACATCGGAGATTGCTCAAGATAGCATTAGCTATTTATACAATCCTACAGTTGTTTAAGAACAATGGCAAAAATCAGGAATGACTCCCTTCCTTGGGCTAGACTTTACTTAATTGATTTTTTTCAAAGTTTTGAAAAATCAAGATGGAAAACATTAGTCAAGGGTTATTTTACTATCTCCTTTATTCTGTACCCAAAGGCAATTTTCCAACTACTAGTACTTTTTTTTTTCCTCTCAGGAATCTAAACAGTTCAGGAACGCTGTTCATTTGTCTTGGGGGTGGACATATAGCATCTGCATGTAGCATACAGCCCAATTCTATGGGAAACAAAGTGCTTCAAAGAAGGAGTCCCAGATTTCTTAAAACATGAGATTGTCATCAGAGCAACAGCTCACTGTTTTCAGAAGTTTCCTTGGGCTATCTGACTGCCTTCTGCTTGCTTCACTCATGCACTCATTCACCAGACCTGTACACAGTACAATCATGTGCAGGCACTATGCTCAGTGCTTGTGATATTGTGCTGAACAATCCAAGGTCCCTGCTCTTATGGTATTTACATTCTAGTGTTGGGAGTAAAACAATAAAAAAGGAAACAGCAAAATAAACTAACTTTCAGATACCAAAAGATGATAAGATTAAACCCGACTAGGCAGAGGAGTGCTAATTTAGATTGGGTAGTAGTGTTCCAGCCAAGATCCAAATAATGGGTCAGCCAGGAGAAAAACTGAGGGACAAAGTATTCCAGGCAGAGAAAAGGTCTCAAGGCAACAAAGAAATTGGGGCGGAAGGAGTTACAAAACAGAAAAAAGGGTGGCTGGAGCATGGTGACTGCAGACAGAGAAAGATCTGAGATGAAGTTAGAGAAGTAGGCAGCGTCTAGATTACCTAGAGTCATATGAGCCATGGTAAGGAGTTTGGATTTTTGCTTGATCTTATGTCATACAACCTGAATTCTCAAGAGACCTGAATTTGCCTTTTGTCTTATCTCTTACCTTTAACCTCTGTTCATTCCAGACAGGCTGTGTTTTAGCTTCAATTATGTCGGAACATCAGTTCATATGAGATATAATATATTGGGGGCCAGTACGAAATGAAAATGCAAGGCCCCCTGTTAAAAAAGTAATTATTTCAAGATACTGACGGCAGAGAATTAAACCAAGTACAGGGCCCAACTAAGCCATGGGCCCTTTTAAGAGTAGGGCCTTGTGCAACTGCACAGGTCACGCACCCACAAAGTTGGCCTTGATCTTGATAAATGTTACTTGAAAAAAATAAATGCCTTCTTCTGATGATTTCTCTTTTCAATTCACCTTATCTATCAACATATAAACTTATCCAAGATCTTTCAAATGGAGTAGTCCCTGAAACATGTGGCTTAAAGGAAGATGCCAAGAAATAAAAAACTAGGATATCAAGATTTACTGAGGCAACATTATGGTATTAGTGTGCAGTAATCTAACTGGGAAACAATGATTATCCAGCCTATTCTCAAGCAAACTAGAATTCATTTGTTCTTACTATTTATTCAAATGCATTACTTTCTTTTTTAGCTACAAGGGAAATATTACAATAAATAGCTACCAAATAAACAGTTGTTTGTACTGCTAGAATAATTGTTAGGTACTTCACATTGTCCAATGAATCCAGAAGTTTTATTAGGCAAACAGACAGTTAAGAAATACAGTTCAGTGACTAACATATTAAGATTTAAGTTGCAATTTCACTAATTTATATTATCTATTAAAAATGCCAAAAAGGTAATTAGAAACCAACTTTTTAAAATAATACATCTTTATAACCCTTAGGTCTTCAGAAAGCCTGAAAACCAATAATCGGATAAGAAAACACTGTATGACTATCAAAATAACTTTTTTCTTTCTTTTTCTACCTTCACCCATTTTGCTTGCCCTCCCCACCTCAAAATGGTCTGTATGAAAAGTAACAACCCATTTTATCTACTATGTAAAATTAGACATTATCATAGGCAACTAGAAAAAGTTCACAAGGATTATTTACTGCTGAAGAATGATGTTACAAGTTAAAGGTGCCAAGTCTGAATTCTTGATCTGGCCCGATATTTTAAGTTTGTGATCTACCTACAGAACAAGGTTGTACTAGCCTTGCCCTAAAGGGTTACCATTCATTCAATAGAACCCATTATTTAGCATTAATTATCATAATGATATGCAATATTACAAGCACACTCAGACTCACAAGAATTGCAGACAACACTACTTCACTGCTATTAAGATTACTGTACCTTGGAAAGGAACAGTTTCACTTGCAATTATAAAATAAAATAATAGAGTTCAAGACAAAGACACTATGACATATAGATATATACTGCTACCTGTTGCTACATGGAAGGATTATATAGAGAAAAAGAATGTTGGAGGGAATGTATTGTTGTTTTCAATGACACTAACGTTTGCATGGGGTTTGAGTCTATGCTGTAAAAAACTGAAAATATGACTGGTCTTGTCCAGAAAGAGTTGACAATCTGGTATAAGAATTAAGGGAGATATGTATGAAAAAAAGTTTTCAAATATTCTCATAAAACAATACCAAGAAATTTTTAGAATCGCAGAATCTTGAGATTTTTGTGCCAGAGCAGAAAAGAATCAGAATATACTTGGATTTTATTGGCTTTGCAATTTTCTGGCTTTGTGATCACAAGTTAATCAATTATTCACTCAAGGTGACCATCAGCACTCACCTGGACTACTGCAATTTCCTACTAACTATTCTACTTCCACTTTTGTCCTCTCTTTAATCCATTCTCTGCAACATAACCAATAAAAATATGAATCAGATCATATCACTTGTATGCTTCAAACTCACCAATAGTTTCCTATTACTTTTAGAATAAAATCTAAACCCTTGGACATAACTTAAAAGACTCTGTATTATCTGACCCCTGTATACCTGCTCTGACTCCAATTCCTACTACTTTTCTTCCTGGTCACGATGCTAGGAACACATTTGCCTTTTTCTTCCATGGTATCTAGCTTTTTCTTGTATCCGGGCCTTTGCATGGCTTGGAATTGTCACCACATAGATAGCTCCTTATAAACATTCAGGACTAGACTCAAATGTCACATCTTCACTAAGACTTGACTTTACTCCTCCTCCGCCTCATCATCATTTGCAATCACACTACATTATTCCATTGTCTTCATTGTACAGATTACTATCTGAAATGTCCTTATTTAAGTATGTTACTTATCTCCTGAGTCTTCAGAAAAAAGTAAACTCTATAACAGAAGCGATCTAGTTTGACTATCTCTATGCTGTAGATCCAGTTGACTGAACAGGGTCTGACCCACAGTGAAGAGTGAAATAAATAAATGTTGAATGACTTAAAATCATTTAATTTCTCAGGCCTTCACTTTCTTCATCCATAAAGTGGGGATAATTTTTTAACTGCTCTGGTCATTAGAAATAAGGCTTAACATTTACTAATTTTTTACTATGCCTCAGACACTGTGAAAATCACATTACATGCATATTCTCAATTACTATTACGATTCCTATTTTACGAATAAGGCCATTAAGTTTTAGGTCAAATAAAACTTGACCTCAAAGACAGAAGATGAAAGTGAAGACATGGGGTATGACTCCAGACCTGACTAACCTCAGAATCTGAGCTCTTAACCACTACTTTATAGTTCCTAAAAAGATGTTCATTTCCATTACGGCAAAATCGGCTATGCTGTCCGTCCCCTTCAGGTCCCAGTTTGTCCTGTAGGACAACTGAAGAAAGTTAATGCCACCCCACACCCCCGCACCCCACACACGTTTCTTTTCCAAGATGAACATCCCCATTCCCTTTAGACCTTTCTTAAATGATCCTTATATCCTGGACACTCTCCTTTAAACAAACTTCAGTTTGATAATGTCTCTCCCGCTCCACAAGCGGTGATTTTCACTGGGCAAGTAGTTAAGGGGTATCACAGCAGTGGAAGTCGCTTCCCAGGGGCTGAGAAACGTACATGTGAGTGAGTGTTCGAGTGGGCTCTAGTTAACACAGGAAAGTTCTTGGGACAGGTGATCCTGAGTACAGGGCAGGAAGTAGCAAGCCAGCATCCCGAGTACCCCAGGTAAAAAAAACCGCGGGACAGCGGCCGCTGGGGGCCGCTAGGTCGAGACAAAGGCCCATGGAGTTTAGGAAGATCAGGAACACAAACCCAAGTGATGATGATGCACACATAGGAATGTAAAGCGTTTTCCTAAATGTAAGTTAGATAGGTACTGGAGGGAAGCAAAGTGGAACAGTCAGGAAGCAAAACGCGAACTTACCCGTAACCGGGCAACCCGGCCTCCGTAGCTCCACTACAAAAGCTGCCTCTTGAGGAGCCTGGTAGCCAAGGCAGCGGCTGGCTCAACTTAGTTATCGCGAGACAGAGCAGGCCTCGCGAGATCTGACCTCCGAGACCGGCGTGTGTTCTCTCCCGGCGCTATGACACCGCTGTGGTCTCCTGGATGGAGTCGTGCTGCTTTTTGTGGCTGGCGCTGGAGCCACCCCGGGTCCCCGACAAGTGTTGCGGAGAGGGCAGATCTGTGTTTCAGACCGGGGAGGAGCGGGACAAGAGGTGCTGAGAGGGGGCTGAGGCGGCTCGGGACATGGAGGCGCCCGGGTCTAGCCCGAGACCAGGCCGTGCAGCTGCCGCGGCGGCCGAAGAGCACGAACCCTTTCACGCGCGCGCAGGAGGAAGACTGGCGGCGGCGGAACAAGACCGTCCTCACGTACGTGGCCGCGGCCGCCGTGGGCATGCTAGGGGCGTCCTACGCCGCCGTGCCCCTTTATCGGCTCTATTGCCAGGTAGGGGCCGGCTCTGCCCTCTGGGCAGTGTCATGTTGCAGGGGATATCCGAGATTATCTCTGCCAAAGAGGAAGCAGGATCAAAAAGGTGACTTATCCAAGGTCACCAATGAAGTTAGTGAAAAAGCTACAGGTAGAGCTCAAACCCCATGGCGATTATTCCGACATGGTGATTGTGTTCCGACCACACTACACAGCGAAATTCCTAGGTCTCTGAGCTACACCTCACCAAAGGGGTCCGCAGCCTATTCTCTGGTATCCATCAATCTAATCAGCCGCACTCTTACTGCTTACACACGTGCCCCGCTTTTAAAATGTAACTTATATTCATTTATTCCGAGAACCACATATGGTTTATGTGCGAACGTTAACCCTGGAAATAGAAATACGCTTTTTACTTGTGCTTAAACTGAGAGTAGCTTTTTAGCCATATAAAGAGGCATGAATTAGGCCTTTGAGTACGCCACCCCAGTTACTATATAACTGTAATGTGCTCACCCTGGGGTCTCTTTTAGGTCAGACACTAGATATTTCTCAAATTGTGGTCCCCTGGACCAACAGTATCAACATAACCTGGGAACTTGAGTGCAAATTCTTGGGCCAACTTCAGAGCTACTGAATCAGGAACTCTGGGGGCAGGACCCAGCAATCTATTTTAATAAGCCCACTAGCTGATTTGAATGCAAACTAATGTTTGAGAACCACTGGCAAAGGCCAACTTCACCTAGTTCAGGTATACCCACCCTCCTTAGTTCTTTAGTAGTTTGCTACTTTGGCTGAGCATTACGATCACCAGTGGAGCTTAAACTTGCCAGGGCTCTCCTACCCAGGGATTCTGATTAGGTCTGGGTAGAGGTCAGGAATTTCTGTTTAAAATACATGCCAAGAGAGCTACACATTGGTTTCATCAGTAAATGTTTGAGAGTAGCTCCCAAACTATGTTGTACATGGAAATCGCTTGGTGAGCTATTTAAAATCCTGACATCCAGATCACATCCCTAACCAATTAAATCAGAGTGACTTGGATTGAGAGTGAGTCATTAATTAGCATTTTCAAGATTCCTCAGAATCTTTGTTGCCACCGTTAATGCTTGGTTTACTTCCCCCATACTTAACAGATGAACTTACCATTATTTTTCGATAATGACTGAAATAGAAGTCAGACGAACTTCAGCCTCATATGGGAAAGTGCAATGGCTTGATTTCTGGAGGAGTGTTGAATATGAAATTAGTTTTCATCAGATGCTAGCCTCGACCAAGCATTAATCCCCAAACTACCAGTTGGTTAATGAAGCTGAACTGAATCCAAAACAGCAAGCCTAGATCTCCACTGACCATGTGTGTGGGGGGGGTGGTGATGGTGGATCTTATTCCTTGGGAAATATTTAGCAATGTCTGAAGACATTTTTGGTTATCATAACCTGGGAGGTGAGGCAGGAAGATGCTACTGGTATCTGGTGGTAGAGGCTAGGGATACTGATAAAGATCAAATACTGCACAGGACATCTCCCCGCCCCCAACCAAAATTTATCCAACCCAAAATGTCACTAGTGCCAAGGTTGAGAAATCCTGCCCCAAACTGAAGTGAATGACAATATTTTGTGCACACGTGTGCAAGCGCAGGGCAGAAAAGTAAAAACTATTGTAATTTGGATCTTAAAGTTGGATGTTAAATACTGACATTTCCAAAAGAGCATCTCTTTCATTTTGGAATCACAGAACTTTAGAGGCAAAAATAAGGTATTGTATAACCACTTAATACAGTGATCTCAAGTATGGAAAGTGTAGTCCAAAGAAAGTAAGATTTAGTTCTTGGAGCTAGTTAGTGGCAGAACTAGACTAGAGCCCAGGACATAGTTTCACTTCAGTGCCCTTTTCTATTCTTGTTTAACTTCTCTAATCATCAGACTTACAGATTTAAAGAATCTATATTCAAAGACTGCTTGTCAGAAAGAATACATTAAGGAATCTTTATTCAAGTAACTCAAATTCTTCAGGAGAAGGAGTTATATCTTAAAATATAAGCATTATAGTCCTCGGGCAGAAGAATATGCTTACCTTTTAAACAAGGATGAGGAAAGGCTTGCCCTCTGATGCATCCTCTAGGATTATAATTTAGTTCAATAATGTATGGCAGTTGAGTGAAGCTAGCTGACTTGTGTAACAAGCAGAAGATAGTAATACTATATTTTGCTGGGAGTCTTTCC